GCAAATCATTTCATTAATTAAGGAGTATATACTGGTATTTTTGACAAAATCTCTGTCATAAAGTTTCAGTAGTTTTATCAAGATAGGTAATCATTTTTTTAACAGAATTGAAATGGTTATTTTGAATACTATGTAGCTAAATGAGAAAGCTGCTGTTTTAATTTGATAACTTTTAATTTTTATTCAAACTGAATTTTGATGCATTCTGTTTTAACAAGGGAACTATCACAAGTGTCCGACGCCGATTTGATTTTCCTTAAAATATGTTTGAAAAAAATTTAACTTTTTAGAATTTGAAGTACACAGGCATAAAATGTTTAAAAAACCGTGTTACTTTTCTTTCAAACATTTTTTTATACCTCTTTTCGTTTAGATGATATTCCCTTGGAAAAGAAAAAAAAATCCGTTTTTTTTCATAAGGATAAATTACCCCTCTGATTGGGCACGTATAAAAAAAAAATACGTGTACCTTAAATTTGTATACTTTATAATATATTTCAAGGAAATCGATGTCGGACACTTGTGATAGTTCCCTTGTAAGACAATTAGCTGACTAAAAGCAGAAAATAGACTTGAAATTTTTATTATTTCCATGTCAATTTGTTTTCCTAACAGCAATACTAAATCACAGAGAAGCATTGTCTTATACGGAAATATCGATTGTCGAAGAAGACAATTTATCACGAGTAAAGAACGTAATTAACGAAATCTGTCGACAATTAAGGTTCTCTCGTTAGCTCCGAGCCCTTGGAAAGCTCTTTTTCCCTCCCCAAAAAAAATCTGTCCGACAAACCGGTGTCAAGCACCAATGTCGGTTATATCTCACGGATTTTTTTAATTCCATCGAGAAATCTCTCTCATTTCGGCGTAATCGTCGAACTTATGGCGGACGAACGTGTCGCGAGATACTGCCTCGTTATCGCCGAGAGGAAAATACAGCAAGAGAGGCGCGAATATCTCGTGACGTGGCTGTGATTGCCTCGCTGGCATTCGCGTCTCCACGCGGCTGATGGAATTCGTGAAACTACGGACGCGCGCTGGTCGTTGACCTTTCTGTTGATCTGGCAGCAATGCCGGCTGTGCAACACTTCGCATCCTATCAGGAAATGTATGCCAGAAATGCGCGATATACTCCGAAATTGAGATATTATGAGGTAAAGTCAAATAAGCGAGTAAGCGAATTCTATCTCAGCGGAATCTTTATATAAGTATTCGTGATAACAAGCTGTTCTTCCTCCCTTTTAGGAAACGAATATCACGAATTATAATCTAATACATTTGATATGTTTTAATCCTTTAGTGCTAGACGTGTCATATTTGACACGTTCACTTTAGATTATTCTTAAAACGCATCAATCTATAATTTAAATTTTTTGTCGCGCTCATTCAATTAATCAATCCCAAATGAGTTGTAAATATTTAAAAATCCCGCTCTGTGCCGTTCGAAGTTGCCAGAAATCCAATATGGCGGCAGCATTCCTAAATCCGAAATCTGAGTCTCGGACTTAAAGAGTTAATATACCCAAGTAGCAAACTGACGTCATTAAACATAGAACTGATGTCGTCTAATGACGTCATTCGACGTCAAAATGTATGCTTGCTACCTGGGTAGTTGATCCTCAATATTATTTTAATATATAATATTATATTCTTCATTCCACACAACTTTACGTGTAATGCATAGCGCATACTTATTGACATAAACGCTGAAACCAATTTCTTTGTTTGAAAGAAATCTAATATGGCGGCAGCATTCCTAACTCCGAAATCTGAGTATCAAACTTAAAGAGTTAATATACCCAAGTAGCAAACTGACGTCATTAAACATGAAACTGCGATGTCGTTTTGACGTCTAATGACGTCATTCGACGTCAAAATGTATGCTTGCTACCTGGGTAGTTGATCCTCAATATTATTTTAACATATAATATTATATTCTTTATTTCACACAACTTTACACGTAATACATAGCGCATACTTATTGACATAAACGCTGAAACCAATTTCATTGTTTGATGTGCGTATATTTGCTTTTTGCATTACATTATTCTATAAAAGTCCAACATGGCGATCGTCGCGGGACAGGTCCGGCAATCGTGTCCGGGAATTCGCGCTTCTGCTAACTAAATCGCGCCGCGTTCGCGATAAGTTTGTCACGATTATCACGATATACACAGTTGACAAAGCGGGAAATTAAAGCTCGCCGAATGCAGATGAGCGCGAGGATCCCAGCGGAAATTTGCTGCGAATATCGCCCTACACACATATTATATTTATGAAAATCTAATGCGTTGCATGTCCAGAGGCGCGGTACCACTTTGAACTGCACTTTGACTATCTCTCGGAGCCTCTCTCTCTCTCTCTCTCTCTCTCTCTCGCGATTTGTCCTTCAACGAGGGTAAACTCGCCAACGCCACATTCATCCGCGATAAGTTCGACGATTGCTTGGGAGCACGTAGGTTCCCGAGGAAATTAAAACTTGGCCAATTCAACCATGGGCGAGCGGCGACAGTTCGCGCGGCGGCTTTATTAACTGTCGGCACGGAAGGAGAAAGAAAGCCGCCAGAGGGGCGAAGCTAATGAGAGATACGGCGAAAGCTGCCGTATAGATGCCACCTTCTCTCGTCGCAACCTAACCTCTTCTTCTTTCGCGCGCGCGCGCGTGCGCGCACCGAAGCGAGTAAACCACTCTCGTCGAAATATGAAGAACCCGGGCGCCGCAGAGTTTTCTCTCCAGGGTAATCTTAATTCTCAAACTGTTGCCTCTCTTCCGTTGCCGCGACGCGACGGTGTGTACGCGCAACGCCCCGAGTTTTGATCAGCGTACGATGAATGAAAAATTCAACGCCGCAACGCACGAATTACCCCTCGGGGCGCTTTTATTAGAATACCTGTTTGCCAATCTTGTAGCCGCGGCACGCTCAATTTGTCAGCTTTAATGAACTTGATTTCTAACGTCGCTGCTCTCGCGTGGACAATTATTGATAGTCTTCGTTTTCATTTTGTTCGTTTTTCTTCGCACATCAGACGAGATCGTACGCCATAAATGTGTAATAAATAATGGTTTTGGATATTTTATCATCATCTAGAATCTATCTTGGTTTTTAGATACTTATTGTGTGTGTATGTTATTTTTGTTATATTTTTATTTGACAGCTATTATTTAGCACCTAGTTTCAGATAACATTTTTACACACAAAAAAAAAATCGAAAAATAAATGTAAAAAAAGAAAACACGTACAATAAAGCAGACGTGTAACATGTCAGATATTTATACCTAAAAGTAAAATTATTCAAAACAAATGGAATGGTACAATGATACTTGATGAAATGAATTAAAACAAACTGAAATAAAAAAAAAATTATGAGAGGACTATTGTTCCGTTATTTTCATCGCGTATTAGCGAGCTGTAAATTCTTGTAAATATTTCAGCGGTCAATATTCGTTCAATTGTTATAAAATTGTATCACACAAATGAACGACCACCACAGTCATTCGTTAATTTATTTTGGCGATATTATCAATTACAGTATCGACATATGTCTCTGATTTAATCAATCATTATGTACACAATTCAGTCATATTCAGCACATAAGCTAGCAATATTGAATAAGACCTTTGAAGTTTTATGTTTTCGCATATTAAACATTTGATTGAATTAAACATAAAGCAAACATCTGTATTTTTCTTGATTGACAAGAACATTTTTTATTGAATTCTATAACTAAATTATCGTTTATTATTTATAATTGTTCAAGTGGTTATTGATTTAGCACTTTTGAAAGGCAAACAGCTTAAAGCTCCGTTGCGCTCCTCTCATAAAAATTGACAATTAATAATTATTAATAATTATCGAAATATTTTAGATATACCCAAGTAATTTTTCATTACACCTGGAAAATTGAAATATACAAGACAACTACAACGAGAATAAAAAATGCATCTTTCAATTAGGTAAATTATTCAAAGAATGTTAAATTTGTCGAGAGCAACAAGCTCTCTTAAAGGGAGGTTCTGGTCAAAATCGATCAAAAAAGAATTTGTTTTTTTGTTGCTTTATTTTCATTCTTTGGGTCTTGAAAATGTGTAGGCAAATGGATATTTTCATATCTAATTTATTTATTTATTTATTTTTCTTCGTCAAACTTTAAACGCGTTTTTCTCGAAACATCTTTTTTTTGCGCGCGAAGCACGATTCCGCTTCAACGACTGAACCGATTTTGATGTTTGACGGCTCAAATTAATGCTTATTTAATTTAGGGGGCCTTCAGGAAGCGTTTTTTTCAAAAAAAATTTTTAAATATTTTTTTTTTAACGTTAAAGCCAAAAAAAATAGGAAAAACAGGTTTTTTTTTCAAATGGCCGCCATTTTTTTTAAAGGGTTTTTTAAAAATTGGAAATTCATAAGGCCCCCCGAATTTCATCTAGTTTAAGAATATTTTTCGTTTTTTCGTTTCAAATCACTTGGCAGGGCTGTCTTCAGTGAGAGCTGGAGCCACCATTTTTTAAATTATTTTTGCTCGACAAAATTTTGTATGATTCGTCAAATATGTACTAATAAATGCCACAAACAGTTTTATCAAAAAAGATTTACGTTCGCTCAAAAAAAATTCCTGAAATTACGTTAATTTTCGGATTCCTTTGAACCAGAACCTCCTCTTAACGAACTACCGCCTACGAGAAAAATAATCTTGATACAATTGCTTAATAAAGGAACTCTGGTATACATGAAAAAATGAAGTATTTGCGTCGTTCATAATTCATAAGTGGAGCCGCAAGATGCGGGGCAAAAAGGGAGTAGAAATTTTCGACGTCCCGCGAACGGGACAGAACCATACTTACGCCGACGTGAATTAGGATAGGACGCAGTTCCGCGGAAAAGCACAAGCGCTTGCGCTAAAAGCCACGGCCCGCGAGGGGTTGCAAGAGGGTAAGAGAGAACTCGCGCACGGGGTGGGGACCAGGGTTCGTGGTTGGAAGCTTCTGCGGGAAACGGAGAATCTGCGAGTGTCAGTGCGATTCGCGACGCGATGCCCTTCGCTTCTCGGGTCCGTGCTTAAGGGGTGTTGGGATCGAGGGTTCACCGGTTCTCTCCCGTTGTGTCGTCGTCGAGAATAACGGGGATATATATCGCTGACTCTCTTCTGTGCACGACCAAGTTTCAAAGAAATCCAAGCCTGTACGTCGAAAAAGCTTTGGGTCGCGGCACAGATTTCGTATATACAAGAGAAATCGGTCATAGTTTCTGCTACGGAAATGTGTGAGTGACAATTTGGTAGGATGAATTTCGCATCGCTCGGAAATGAGAGTTCTGTCACACATCGATCAGCCGCGCGGCTCTCGTTATCAGCTGATGCGAAGGGGATAGTCGGTTATCGTTTCATTTAATTATCCGGGACGACGATCGGTTCCAAGGAATATCGAATACGCGACCGTGCGAATTATTGCTCATTGATATGTCGTTTTACTGCTGTAAGATTGTAAATTATGCAAACGTAATTTCCTCTGGTGCTACGCGATCGCGATTCGCGCCGAGGAAGAAGACGACGATCTCGGCATAGCGACGTCCGATCGCGCGTTTACCATTATTGGAAAACAGCGGCGAGGTGCTCGAAGTAAATTTTCAGATACGACGCGTCCTCTCTTTCGTCCCTTCTAGTTTTTCTCTCCGTCATGTAGCCGCGAGTCCTACGCAAACCCCATTCCACTTTCTTCGTTTTCCGCTCGCCAACTTCTCTCTCGTGCAACTTTTCTCTTAAATTGCGTTAGAAACTCGATCTGCGACGTGCGATAATAATGATTGAAAAGTTTTGGCAACAATTATCGACTAAATTTTCAATGCGGCATTTTCAACTCTTTTCAACTATACTTTTATAATGCGTCGTTCTCTCTCTTCTTGCTCCTGATTTCTCGCTCACAATTTCACGCCGGGAATTTGAGAAAATTAATTGAAAATGAAACACAAGAGAAACATTCTTAATTGAAATTCTATTATAAACTTTATAGCGCGTTAGTATAATTATAGAAATGTGTCATATTAAGAAGAGAAAGTATTTAATTTGGGAAATAATACATCTAATGTGTTCTTTTGATATTCAACGGAATTTCAATGGCTTTCCCTTTGCACTCTGCTGCCTTATTGTTTCAATGGAAGTTACCGGTCAAATTGCATTTAGAGTTCAATTCCATAGGGATAATAATAATGATCCAAAGCTCTTACGCGGCAATTATAAACGTGGAAACTTAGCATGGCTGAAAGTTTGTCGCCCATTCGCGTTCTCTTATTGGCACACTGATCTTAGTAATATCGGAGCAAACTAAGAGAGATGATCCCGTCTTAGTTCAATACATATTTGTGCCCTCAAATCAATATTTAATTATATATTTTAAGACGTGTCTCGTTATAAAAGGATACAATTTAAATTAAAAAATTGCGTTTTGAAAATATTTATTTGAAATAAATTTATACGAATGTGAATGTAATTAATTTTATAAATGAAATATCGCAATGAGATATTAATTATTAAATAATAGTAAAGAATGCCGGAACTAATAAGAGAATTAAAATCAGTATTTTAAAATTGAATACGATTCGTGATGCGGCTAATTCCGTTATAATTATGCAAAACTGAAAAACTGAGTGAGAACGTGCTATTCGTGATTGAAAATATTACGCGAGCTCATGGTGAACAACTCAGAGAGAAGCAAAAGGATCATTAAAATCGCATAATGGATCGCTGGACAGATACTAATTGATAAAATATTAGCGGAATTCAGTGTAAACGTATATATACATATATAACAAGTACGTGATTAATTAATCTACGAGAGCTTCTCGCCATCGATTGGACAAAATTTAACGGTGAGTACACGTAACGTATATATATATATATATATATATATATATATATATATATATACAGGGTGTCTGACATTATGTGTCACACCGAAAATATACAAGTAGATCTCGTTATTTGGAGATGATTTTTCCTCAGCAAAAATGTCGAGGGAAGCCATCATTTTTTGGATGTTCCTAATTTTTACCATCATGTATTTTTATAACTAAACCTTAAATTAAAATTTTATTAAAGTAAACTCTACTTGAATTAATTGGAGAATGTGGTTTTGTTAATATTTTATTTTCACAAGGCTTAGTTTGCGAAAAACCCTTTATATTCAATCACTTATAACTCGAAAATTATTAATGCTTCTATATTTTTGCTGAGAGAAAATTGTCTCTAAATAACAAGATTTACTTGTATATTTTGGTGTGACATTTTATGTCAGATATCCTGTATATATATATATATATATATATATATATATATATATATATATGTAAGGGATTTTTATTTTTACTTTTATATGTTATATAATATCAGAACTTTAGTTAACAAGATAATAAAACTTTTATTTATTTTATTCGCGTAAAATTATATAAAGTATTTTTATTTAGCCCGATTTCTCATCGGACACCAATTTCTTTAATTCTCCGTTTCTCTTTATGAGATATCTGCTTTTTCGTAAATTAAATACGATAATTATAACTAATTTAGATTTGTATCACATATTCCTGGTAACGTGTTTACCAATTAACGAGAATAGCAGTTAGTTACGAGGGCGAGGGCTGCCTTAATTTTCCTTTCTCGTCTTAATTCGCACTCATATTTTACGTCGTTAGACCGGCACCGTAATGATGGTAAATTACGTGTAACACTGCAAACAGCACATTTGAATGTCGCCTCTTCTAAGCTGAAAACGTGAGAGCTATAAACGATTTCGTTTTATGTACCCCACAATTTATGATGAAATAATCATTGCGAGACCGCAAATAATTGAGAATTGATGCAGTTGATTTTAATACCGTCGTTTACGTTGATTTGTTATTTATTATATATTGCACAATTAATTCGTTACAATGAAATAGCTGATTATGTCCGCTCGTTGAAAGATAATATGTCGCGCGACATAAAAAATAATCCTGATTTGATTTTGCTAATAATTTGCCTCATTGATCGGATTAAATTAATAACTTCTCGTTATATACTTCATATGTTAATTTGAACAATTTTAAGCCCAATTATTCATTATGGAATTACATATATCGGATTTACCGTTTTGTCTTCACATCAGAGAACTAATCTACAACTAATATGTGATGGAAAATGTACCGCCGCTATAACATTTGCACGTACATTTTCCAAGATTAATTTTTACGTCAATATCCGGATACCATTTAGCACTTTAAATTAAAATTTTTTTAAATTTTTGCAAAATGTTTTCTCAAATAATTTTATACTGATCAATGTGTTTAAAATAAAATTTAAAGATATAATTTCTCAAGAATAGATAGAATCGTCATGGAAACATGGCATATTAATATAGAGAGTAAATTTTACAGATTTAATATTATTTTCAATGTCTTTTTTGCTATTTTTTTTTTTTTTTGACATATTGCTTAGAAATAGTTAAAAAATATTATGTAAATATGGGGAAAAACAATGAGAAGATTGAATAATTACTATTTTTCTCTATAAACTTTTATACTTATTATATATTTATATCCTAAATAAAATTTGCGTCTATCTATCAGACTGATAAATTTAATATGACATTTCTGTTTTTACTCTTAATCCAACTTATATCAATTTTTTATGTGTAAAGGTTTACCTTATCACATGTCACGAGAAGCTTTCGACGGTGTAATTGATTTTATTTTCTAAAACATAAAACATTACCGACATGTGTCCTACTGAAAACAGCTTACCTAGTCAAGAAAATTAAAAACTGTTTTGTCTAGCGACGCTAGTATTATCTTGTTTTCGTTGGAAAATCGTTAGCGTCGAAGTGAAGTACAACGAAATGCACTAGCATCAGAAAAAGCAGCTTGCAAGCACCGCGTCAGCATTCCATTCCACCCTGCTCAATAAGCGATATCGTCATCGTCGAAATTTTTAGGAACATAAAATCACGGAAACGTCTGACAAGAAGATAATCTATATCGTTTATTCCATTATTTTTGCCTTGATGAAAAATAAATTTTATTATCTGGGAGAGATGTATTACATACTGAATAATTTTATGAGATATCGTGTTAATTATTTTTTATATTTTGTTTACTCTATATAAACATGGAACATGACAATATCTATATAAAACGCGAAAAGAAGAAATTATTTGCAAAATTAAGCAGCCGAATACAGAGTTGTATGTTTCGATCACAAACAATTGGATAAACGATTCTGTGTGTTTGAACAAAAAGTAAAATCAATTCACAAAATTGGTTTTTCGTGCGAACAAATGAGAGCTCTAGAGACGAGTTAACTGCCTCCCTCCCACTCTCGAGGGAACTATTACTAATCAATAGTCGATCGAAACAATAGTTTAAATATGCTTGCCTGCACATGACATACAAAATGACAATGCTTTTCTAATGAATTTCTAAAGAATGAACGAGAAAATGCCAAACTGTTTTTCGAAAGTATTTTCCAAAGTTATTCAAGATGTAAAATTCTGTAATAAAATGCAATTTTAATTAAAAAATTGTGACAATGTGAATACGACAAATATTGGATTAAGTCCTTTGTGTTATCTAAAATATAACATTAACTTACGGAAAATTGCATTCTCCACTAAATCTTCCGATTAAGTTTATTCAAGAAGAAATGTCGACAGCGGCCGTTCAGCATCATTATGAATTATGCATCGCGACGGCGTACCAAGAGAGAGCAAACTTCTCCGGTTTTCCATTTATATTAAGCGTCACGCAAACTCGTCAGCGTCAAGTGCCGAAACTCGAACGATTCGCGTGAGCTTGCAATTAACGAACTTCCCAGCGAGAAGAAATCCGAGGAGAGGATCGCGCGGCATTCATCGATGAATCATAATAAAGTAATTTATTCGTCGTACGTTTGTTTTAATGCACGTTGCCGCGCAAAGTCAATCAATGTGTATGCACCTTTTATAGTCATTAGAATTTTATAATCATTAGAATTTTATAGTCATTTTTTTATTTTTCGACTGTAAGTCATTAGCGTTTTATAGTCATTTTAAAAATTTTTTAACTGTAAGTCATTGTAATTTTATAGTCATTTTTTAATTTTTTGACTGTAAGTCATTAGAATTTTATAGTCATTCTTTTAATTTTTGACTAAATCATTAGAATTTCATAGTCATTCTTTTCAATTTTTTAAAAGTAAAACTTTGTTTTACATATGACGTAATCGTGTTCTGCTGTTTCTTATTATGTAATTCGGTTACTTTAAATGACGAATTAATTTCTCCCGCGCGTTAATTATCCGCGAAATCGCGTTCTTGCCAATATCGGTCATAAAGCCGACCTCGCGAAGCTTGTCAATGGATCAGCGGAGACGGCTTTGCGAATGTCAGTGCGATTGCGTGATCGAAACTGTTCCAGTAATGAGACCTGTGACATGGTACGTTGCTCTCCGATACAGGGATTGTAATGAGCCAATTTCGCGCCGGTATGTCAAAGGTCTCTCCCCGGCCTGCCTTGCAGCCGTTCGAACTTTGATAGCTCATTCCTTGACGTGTATTTCGTGACGTGGGTTAGACGGCGAATCCATCGCACAATTAAACGCCTTCAAGGTCTGGCCAGAAATAAACAGTAAATATCGTCAGGCCGACTGTGTTGGCGATACAATGATAACCGATGTGTTAGCTAATCTCGATGGTGCTCTAACCGCGATTGCGCTGTCTAGGAATTCAGGTTAGCCAAGCTGTAATGAAACCTTATGGATCAATAGCAAAAGGATTGATATGCTGCTGCGCTTTAATCGACATCTTTAATTATCTATGATCACGGTTAAGTTTGAATTGCCGAAATTGATTTGATCGAAATAAATGCTAAACTTTTGACAATTATTTTCAATTTAATTTTTCTTGAATAACTAACAATAAGTGACAAGAAAAATTGCCTAACAAAAATTGCGAATAAAATTAAAAGTAATATGAAATTAAGTCAATTGTTTCTAACACTTTATGCATATTTGCACATTAGGGTTAAATTGGATTCCGTTATATTGAAGAGAATTACTTTAGATAATTTAAACATTTAAAAATTTCGCGATAAAATTCAAAATCAGAAACCTGTTTATAGATTTATTTATCTATCTATTTTTATTTTAATTTTATCTGTTGCATATCGTAATAAATGTATATATAAATATTGTATATATAAGTTTTTTAAATACATTTCCTGTATTTACGATATCTGAAATTATAATTAAAATTGTTTCTGTGTTATGAATTATATATCATCTAAAGTGGATTTTAACATACAGGAATTGCAAAGAACAAGCTGATAGCTGAAAGCTATTGACGGAATGATACATTACGAAGTAATGTAGTGCATATCGTATCACTTGGCACAGATTGGACCACTGCTATCCCCGAATATCGTTCATACATATACACATATATGTATATACATATATTGCTAAATAACCAATTGCGCATGCCACATATGTAGCAGCAACCTAATATAATGGCATAAATGATGAAGCATTAGCATTAACATTCGTCTCATTAACTTTACCATGTATTGAATAAATAATAATATTGAGATTCAACAAAAAATTTGAATCACAATTTCTGTGATTTAATAAGTATGCAATTATTGATTTATAAGTATCATTAAATAGATCCCTTTCTATATATACTGTGTTATAATCTATTCATTTATTTTGAGGTAACGGAACTATACCTACAATCTACAGTCTACAGTCTACAATCTACAATCTAATTTCTATAATTTAATTTCCACAAAAGCATCTCATAATAAAATAATTGTTCACTCACCAATCGATGCGCAATAGCGGAGTTGAATAATTGCTACACATT